GGGGGGGGAACAATTTTTCGCCAGTTCAAAAGGGGAGGCCCCCCCCGAAGCGGGCCCAAACCCGGGCGGTTTTAACAAAGGTTCACACTGGGGTTCTTGGGCCCCAGCCGTTTCCTCCACCTTCCCCGCCGGTTTGAAGATTGCCTCCAGCCGCGGCAGTGGTTTTGGGAGCGGCAACCCCCTTTTTTTCCTTGAGAAAATTTCGGCAATTTCACACATTTCGGCAAATTTCACACATTTCGGATCCCACCTTTCACCCCTTGGCCCCCCCCCCCCCCCACCCCCCTCCGCCCCGCCAGTAACCAAGTCTCGCCAAAAGGCCTAGATTAGGGAAAAGAAATCGCTGGAAAGCCATCAGGCTCGCATCTCTCTGTGGGGAGAGGACTAACGCGAGCTTCGATGACTGTTGGGACGAGGAGTCGAGCCGGAGAAGCCGACGCGCCTACGGGCAGCACGCCGCGGCGTTAGCGTCGCGAGGCCGCCGGTCCGCGCTCTCGCGTCGTTCACGGCGCTCGGACTGCAGCCGGGCGGCGACTGGCGAGCGAGCAACTGTGTCGCTCTCGCCGGAAGAGAAGGAGGGCGGTCCGGCGCGGGCTCATGGGAAGCACGGGCGGGGAATCGGCAGCAGCGGACGCGTCTAGCAGCTCCTTGATGGCGGCGCACCTGCATGCGGGAGGGGTAGGCGGTGCGAGGCCGAGGGCGGCGCAGCCGTTCGGCAGCAAGCGAAGCGCATCGCATGGTCGGGGTGGTGAGGGGGCAGCGGGTTCGGTGAGCGGTAGGCGTTGCCGGGGTCCAGGCGTGCAGCTCGCGGCGGCCATCTGTGATGTGATGCGGCAGGGCGAGCGCGAGCGGAAGCGGACAGTTCATGGCTTGCCTGGCAGGAATCGAGGCCGTCGGTCGTCTTTGAGTGAGGCGAGTTGAAGGGGGGGACGAGAGATTACGCTGATTTCAGACGGAAAAAGAATTTCGCTGTTTTCATAGGGAAAAGAATTTACAAGTGTTACCCGATTTTACATCCCAGTACCCGGACGGATATCCCTCCGTTCGAGCTCTTCTTTCTTTGCGCCTAATTTTCAAAGCCTGTTGTTTTTTCAACCCATGTGGAGATAGAGAGAGAACAAACACACACACCCATGTGGTCCCTCCTCTCAGGTTTCAACACAAAAGAAATCGACTCCCGAACGACCGCGCCCGAGTCGTACTCGGGCGACTCACATTGAGAGAGAGAGAGAGAGAGAGAGAGAGAGAGAGAGAGAGAGAGAGAGAGAGAGAGAGAGAGAGAGAGAGAGAGAGAGAGAGAGAGAGAGAGAGAGAGAGAGAGAGAGAGAGAGAGAGATTTAGTAATGTTTTGTGTTGCACATATTCCTGAGGGAGGGTGTAGAGGATAGCGGGCCGGATGATCGGGATCGGGTTACGGGCTAGAGAGCCCTAGCCCCGGGGGTGCGCGGTCGCAGGGCCACAACACGTCTCCGAGGGTTGGACCCGCGTACCAGGTTTCCCCTTAACTGCAGGACGCCCCCTCTTCTCGGAGCTAGGTCTCCGAGGGATGGCTCCGTGTACCGGGTTAACTGCAGAACGCCCCCTCTTCCTCGACCGTGGGGGGGTGCGCGGTCGCAGGGCCATAACACGGGTCTCCGAGGGCGGCGGCGGCGAGGGTGGGTGCTCCTCCTTTGCTGTCCCATCTCCTCATCTCTTTCCCACCTAGGCGGGGCGGTGCGGGGGGTGCGGGGTGCGGTGCGGTGCGTTTGTGTGTGCAGCAGCCGGGTCAGCGTCATGTGTGCGTCCGTCGCTTGTTTTGTTTCAACGAAGTCTAGCTCAAAGAAAAACCTCGCCCACCGTGAAACTCCGCCTCGTCGCCATGGTGAGCTTGCCCACAAGCAGAGCCCGCCACAGATCGCCCGGCCGCCGAGGCTGCGGGGCCGGTGCCGTGTGGGCTTCGCTCCGCGCCGCTTGCACTCTCGGCCGGTCCCTGCAGCTTTCCCTCCTGCCGCCGCCGCGGAGTGGCGAGGCCAGCCTTGCGAGAGGGAGGTTGATGGGTGGCACCCTCGCACCGCGCAAGGAGCCGACGGCACGTGTGGCGCCACCGCGGGCTCCTCACGTGCCGTAGCGGCGGCCGGGGGCGCGCTCGGCGGCGGCGGCGGCAGCGAGTCATCCCCTTGAGAACGCCGCGCCCGACGAGACTTCCGAGCGCTGACAGGCGCGGCTGTCCCGTCCCGTCTGCAGGCGCCGAAGGTGACCAAGGCGAAGAAGGAGAAGGGCGAGAAGGCGCCCAAGTACTACCCGGCCGACGACATTCCGGTCAAGGTGCAGACTCCCTGCACACCCAATTCCCCACGCCCGCCGCTGCGTCTCCAGCAAGGTTCACCGCAACTGGCGCTATCGTCAACCATGAGTGAGAGATAGGGCTAACGGCTGGCCGCTAGCCTGTGAGGAGGGCGTCCATGGACACCTCACACGACCCCACACACGGTCTTTAAGCGTTTACTGTAAGACCGTTTTGGAATCGGCGGCCCAGGCAGCCTAGAGCCTTAAATAAAATGGGCCCGGGCCCGTTTTAGGCCGTTTAAGCCGCAGGCGCCCCAGGGCCCACCCTTTTAAGCCTAGGGGTCCCCTAAGCAGCGGAACACGGACGACGGAGTACCGAGTAGAAAACACACCGTTTATCACCCCCCTCCCACACACGTCGACGCGCCCCCGCGGCGAGCGTGGGAATGTGGAATGAGGATGATGTGTGCGGTGCCTAGGTGCGCACTTCTCGCATCCGCATTCCTCTCTCACCTCTCTCTCTCCAAAGATGGCCGATCCTCTCAAACTCTCACTCTATTTCCCGTGACGCAATCCCAGCCCCGGGCGTCCGGCTAGGCGCGGGATGGCCGACTCGCCGTTTATCGAGACGACGCCGGTAGTTCGGTTGGTGGAGTGCTCTGGCAGCCAGTCCGACTGGGAGAGCCACCTCACGGCGAGCTTGTCGAGCGGCGTCAGCGAGTCCTTGAAGGCGGCGGTCCTGAAGGCGGCGTGCAGCGGCGACGACTTTGGGCGAGGGAAGAGGCGGTACCATTCGTGGCTGGAGTGCATCTGCTCGTGCACCATCTGTGGCGGAGGAGGTGTGTGGGGTGAGGTGCGACACACGTTGGGAGAAGCGGGCGCCCGGACCCCCTCGGGGCGCTCCTCCTCCCGCTGACCTGTCAACCTGTTAGGCCCGCCTCTCACTATCTGCCATCTGGACACGTCTCTTATCAACCTACGGTGTCCCTCCCCCCCCCCTCCACCT